TTATTTTCCAAATAAAGTAGAGAGTGGAAATTTTTTGTCAGCTCTAACAGACTTTGCTGTATGACCCTTCTCAGCTCTGCTTCCCAATGGTTTGTCATGATATTGTTGAAAATTCTTCTAGGCAATCTAATAACGTATCTGGTGCAATGCTAACATAGTGGGATACAAACCAATACTGTAGATTTTATTTACTTTAAAATAAGAAAATTGCATTTTCCAACAGTTAAGCAAGTTAAAACTGGCATGTTTTAGCTGAATTCTGCTATTCTTTTCTTTCTTTTAAAGATATGGTAGAGAGGGGAAGTTTCCATTTTCCCATAAGAGGCAAATTTTGGAAGCCTTTAACACTTCATTAAGAAATCAGCTGTCTGTGACCTCTTCTAGTACTCTGCCAAAATACACTTACAGCAACCTCCCCCTTTTCTCCCACATGGAATCACATCAGAAACTGTTATTTGATGCCATAAAACAATGTGAATCAGTCTGTTATGTGTTCAGTTGATTAAACGGAATGCATTTTATTGCTGCATTTGCATGCTTTTCTTTGAAATCTGGAGTCAAGCAACTGAATCTCTTTGAGGATTAAGCACATTTTAGTGGTGTCTCTGTATAAATTACTGGCAAATTAGCAGAATGTTATTGTCTCAGCTTTGATAGTGCTTGCTGGGGGGAAATGTGCAAAGAATGTATTCTGTCTTGGCTCTGATTATGTTGGCTGATGTTTGTAATATATAATACGATTGATTAAGAGTCTAGGTTTGGGGAAAATTAAGTGTCTTAGAGCCACAATGGGAAGTTACTGAGCAGCTTCAAGGAGCTGTCATCTTTGTTCAAAGAAAGGATTTGGTTTGCTCTTGAAAAAGAGGTTCTGGGACTCTTTGTTAGTAAAGGGGAAAGTTTGCAGGTTTTGGGTTTTCTGTCCTGCCAGAGCCACTAGTAACCATAAAACTGAGACACTTAATTATAATCAGACAAGATAGCAGCAGATGTTGCCATGAGGAGCCAGTGGCTGTTGACTCATCTCCAGCAGTGGCCAACACAAGTGCTTCAATGTAAGGGTAAAAACATCTAGAATTGGTGCTGACTTGCCAATGGGAATGCCTAGGCAAGCAATGTGGCTGGTTGGTCCATATCATGAAGCATGGAGGCCTTAAATAGCTATTCTAGGTATTTTAACAGGGAATAATAACCTCCAGCGAAATCTTGGGAAGTTCTGCTTATGTTTGGTGGTGTTCCCTCTTAGTCTTTCCCCTTGTATCCTTCTTTCACTGAATCCCCTTGTTTTTATTTCTCGCTGTTTTTGAATGCTTGTGAACTGTGCTTCTTTGGCAAGCATGTAAGGAGACAGGAACACAAATAAAAGGAGGTCAGGCTTATCCTAAAATATATGGTGTGTGTCACAACGTTCTGGGCTCCCCAGTTCAAGAAAGATGAGGAACTGCTAGAAAGAGTCCAGAGGAGGGCAACTAGTATGATAAAGGGACTGGAGCACCTCCCCTATGAGGAAAGGCTGAGAGAGTTGGGCTTGTTCAGCCTGAAGAAGAGGGGACCTTATCAACACATACAAATATCTTAAGGGCGGAAGTCATGAGGATGGAAGCAGTCTGTTTGCAGTGGTGTCCAGTGACAGGACTAGGGGCAATGGGTGCAAACTGAAACATAAGAGGTTTCAGTTGAATATGAGGAAAAACTTCTTTACTCTAAGGGTGACGGAGCCCTGGAACAGGCTGCCCAGGGAGGTTGTGGAGTCTCCTTCTCTGGAGATATTCAAGGCCTGCCTGGATGAAGTCCTGTGCAGAATGCTCTAGGAGAGCCTGCTTTAGCAGGGGGGTTGGACTAGATGATCTCCCGAGGTCCCTTCCAACCCTTGTGAATCTGTGATTCTGTGATTCTGTATGGTGACACCCCCAGTCGCCTGGCTGGATGTGCCCACACTGAATACATGCAGCAGGAACAAGGGAGACATGAGAATTGAGTTGATCGTAAGCTGCCACTGTGTTCAGAGTTCTGGATGTATAGAGTTGGACCTCATCAGGAAGAAAACTCTAAGGTCCCATGTACTGTGAGGCTGGTGCTCTAACAGCACCTAAAAGCCAAAGCAAGGTTGCGTGGATGTGTGTTTGCTTGAATAAAAGACATGCCAAGAGCAACCACTGAGAATTTGGGTGTTATATACAGCCCATTCCTATCCTTGCCTCCTTTCATATTTAAAATGGAAATGTACTAGAAAGTCACTCTGTTTAGGAGTAACATGCTTTGTTTTTCAGCTGGTTGTAGGCAGTGGTAAAGTCGCTGTCTGGCTTGCCGTTGTTGCCTCTAAAGACCCTACCATTGCCTTAGAGGCAGGAGAAGCGAGAAGATTGGCACTCCACGTCTCCCCCCCTCCCCAAGGCTTTGCTTCCTACCCATCCCCTTCCTAATGCAAAAACAGCCCAGCCTGGTCTTGGCCTCTTTTCTTCTTGCAGTGACAAAACTCAGCTTTGCCTGTGTGGCTGAGAAACTTTGAGGTGGATCTGGATAAACAGCTTCTGCCTTTCATCTTGCAGACTGCAAGCACTAATGAGTAGGCAATGGCATCACGGGCATCAGACTGCATTTGATGGTGAGTTAAGGGGGGGGAAGTTGATTTCGTCTCCCTTACTCTAAGTGTACTAACTGGGTGAAGGATTGCAGTGGAAACCTCTTTAACCAAAGCTGAGATTTCTGGATGGAGCCAGGGCATTTCAGACATTTTTCGCTCATTTTTGGGGTTTGTTATGTCCAGGTAGAACACAATATTTTTCACATAAGTCTCGATCATTTTTCAATTTGAAAAGACAATTCATTTTGAAATTTCTTTGGCTATAACTGAAACCAATTGTGTTCAATTAATTCAGGAAAAACAATCACTTGAAGACAAAATAAAATGTTTTGGTTTACCACAGTATATTTTGGTTTTGCTTTCAAACTTCACTCAAGACTTGAAAAAGAAACACCTCTCCTACCAAAAAAAAATGCCAAACCAAAACCAAGAACAAAGACAAAAAAAACCCCAACCCTTGTTTACTTCAGATCGACCTGCGATGATTTTTTTGAGTCTTATTTTTCTGCTTAGCCAGGAAATAAAAAGTGATCAGGTTTTCACAAACCTTTCTGCACTCTTGATTTGTATCAGAGATCTAAGGTACTCTCAAGTTATGGCTTCTGAATGAAAGACTAAACTTTTCTGCTGCCACCATAGATGCTGGGCCAAGCCTTGCTCTCGTCCCTGGCATTTTCCCCCGGCTGGCTGCCGGCAGGGCTCAGAGCAGTGTGGCGACTCTTCAGGCTCACATCCAGGGTACTTGGGGCTCCCCTCCACCATGCAAGGAACTGTGACAGGACCCACTGTGCTTTGAGGCAAATTACTCAAATCTTTATATTGGGGAGCAATAAAGACACCAGAAGAGGTTTATACTCTAAAGCCAAGTTTTACACAAATGGGAACAAAACCTATAAACTTTTAAATAGAGAAACTAAAATAATCATGTGACACAATAGCAAAAACCAACCCCCAAGCCCTTTCTCAAGAGATTTTCATGCCAGTATGGTGTGCAAAGCTTCTGCCAGACTTTTACTTTTTCCTTTATTGCTCTGCTGTGTTCTGAAACTGGATTACTTGAATCATCAGGCAATACCAGATAATGTGCATCCCTGGACATCCAATGGAAAATAGTGAAAAGCTTTCAAGATAAACCCAAGTAAAGACAACAATGTTGGGAACATTCAGTGGGGCTGGAACTCCAGAGCTCCATGTGGATTTTTTATTTGTATGAAAGACCCACATGCAAGTGGCTTTCAAATCACCTAAGTATTCATAACACGTGTTACAAACCTTGGGTCATTTTCTCAATAGTGCTATCAAAATGAGCGAAAACTCCGGGACAATAGGATCCTCACCTGCTATAAATTAGCTTCAGTGATACCAATTTAGATTCTAGGGTGGGAATTCATTTGACACAATACCTTTATTTTCAGTGCAAACTTTGTGAACTGGGCAAGCTGTGCTAGCCTTTATTTGGAGAGTTTCATCTCAGCCTAAAGTAGCAGTCTGAGCTAAGCCAGGGGAGTTGTGCCTATTTCTTCCACTGAGTACAAAGGGAGAAGGGGTTGACAGTCTCATACATAGCTATTTATATTGTAGACAATGAGTGTTAGGTGAGGTGGATTTGATCCTGATTATTGCTTTCCATAGGAGTTGAGAAGAAATTCTCATTGGCTTAGGCATTTTTAAGAGCTCCATAACGTTAATGTAGATGCAGGACATCAGCATTATTCTGACCTTTTGCCATACTGTGAACAGCCTCTTAATCCACAAAAGAGCATATGCAAGTCAAATGAATGTAGCTGCCCAACTTGAGACGCTTTAAGGGATCTTGATTGAGAAAGCAGACTCCCAACCTGTCAAAACTTGACCCCTGTGCCGTGCATCAAGGTGGGAACCAAACCTGAAACACTAGGCACTCCTGAGCTTGTGGAGACAAAGAAGCTGAGTACAGAGCTCTGCATGTACTGAGGGCTGAGGAATGCCTGTTCTGGGGAAAGTCACAGGGGTTTCTGTGCTAGACAGCTCCATGAGGCAGAGGCTTAAATGGCTGCCTGTGTAGCCAGTCATAGAAGTGTTGTCATCAGAGGTCTTTGCTGGTGGACATGTGGATGTCCAGAAAAATTAGGCATCTCTCTGTGAGTAGGAACCTGCATCTTTAATTTTTGCATTCAAAATAACAGCTACTTCCCTCGCCAGTTCAGCCCTAAGGACTTGCACATTTCCAGGAATGTGTAAAAACTTCTGCAAGTGCAGGAGGACTGGGCTCCAGAGAACTGGTACGTCCAACAGCGTGTATCTGTAGTGTCTGCCTTTCAAGCCTCAGTGGTGTTGCCTTTGGAGTCAATGAGAATTTTGCTATTGACCTCAGCTGGAATGAGATCAACGGGAACAAGCCCTTAGGTAAATATGCCCGGACACATTAATCAAAGGTGTGTTTGTTTCCTTAATGACTTTTTGGACCCGGCAGAAGGGAAGATTTCAGATTGTTTCAACAGAGTGAGGGCGGCTTTAAGAGTGCAGTTATAAAAGCCAGACTTTAAAGGTATTTTGCAACTGGCTAAGTAGCCGGTGTGTGTGCCTTGAATTGTTCGGTTTGAATGTAAAGGTCACCCCAGAGACGTGTGTAAATGTCTCCTGGATTTCTCTTTTTTGACTGTTTTTGGTCTCTCTTTCTGCAGTGCTCCAATTACCTTTCACAGCACTGTTGATGCAGACAAACCGAACGAGCTTTGTTTTGGCTGGAGGTATAAAACAGTCTTAGCTAATTTTCTGACAGATTTTCTTCCATCTCTTTGCCAACCTAATCTAAAATTTCTTTGTTTTTTATATGCTACCAATCTATTGTGTGCATGACAGCATTAAGTCATGCCAAATGAGTGAACCAGCGATCAAAAATGTTTTGCTAATGTCTCATTGAGATGCAATTAGACATTTTCACTTTTGAAAATTATCCTGCATTTTGATAACAAAAAATGCTCTTGAGATGCTTTAATAACGTGCATTTTTTAAGGACCCTGCCAAAGCATTCATCGTAAGCACATACTATGTGATAAGGATTTTGTAACACAGGGGCAGACCCATACACAGATACGTGTGTACACACACTAATGCTGCAGACTTTTTATCCTTTTTACCTATCCTGGTGTCTAGAAAAATGTGGTGACCTTGAAGGAGGAAGAAACAAAAATGAAACCATGCTGAAAAACTTTTATCTTTTTATTATTGATGCCTTTACATTAATACTGCTGTTTTGTGCTGAGAAAACCAATCTGTTACACGTAAGGTAACTGTAATATACAACATAGAAATGCAGTCTAAGTTAATTACAACAAGGAGCTACAAAAAAATTTCGTAGGAAAGAAGTCATCTAACATTGCAACTGTGCTTGCAACAAATCACTCCCTTACTGCAGGACTATGCACATTGTGAACCATGGTTATTTACATGTCCCTTGCAACCGTTAACAACAGAAGGGCTAAAATAAGTCTAAAAAGTTCCAGAACATCACTATATACTGTACAATCCTCAAAAATAATTTATTACACTGTTTCTAAAAAAAAGGTACTAGGTTTGTTTTGATTTCTTTTGTTTTCTGGTGTTTTTCCGGAGTGCACAACATGTGCAAAATTTCGCCTAACAGTCTAAAAACTCAAGAACTGAACTGCAATTCACAATCACAGAGATGAAGTGGTGGAGTCCAGAACTTCCCTTCCATTGCAGACGGTTGGTACGTACATGCTAGCAGATGCTGAAAGAGAAAGAGAGGGGAAAGTCAACTGACTTCAGAGCAGCAAAAAGTTACGGCACACAAGATTAGAATTTACGTCGATCTGGACCATCTCACCCAATTTAACCAAAATGCTCAATGAAGAGTCACTGTATGTGACTGTGTCAGCAGTGGATGGAGCTGATGGAGGTATAACTTGCACCTCTACACGGCAATTCAGATCTCAGGCTGAAGCAGACTCTGGAGGAACCTGATTTCTCTTTGCTGACCTTCGAGAGCGCTCAGGGTGACTAAGCTTCCCCAAGAAGTGTCTGAATAAAATACATGACTTTTTTTTTTTGATGATTCTGGGCCACTGGGTCTCACTTCATAGCACTTTTCATGGTAGTGTGAATTAATATAGCTAGAGTGGTGCTAAGATATCCCTGTAGAATAAAAAGTGAACCTTTGGATTTTTATGGTTTATTGGCAGGAATTGCTAAGGGCTCATCCTCTGAGCTTCCACATAATTGGAATGGACGTTCCTGAAATAAAATATATGCATTTTTTAAATCCACCTCTGTATATTAAGAGTCTGTGTCGATCTACTTTTTAATCAAAAAAATAAGAATTCTGTGTACATGTTGGATGGAGTGAAGAAATTTTTCAGTAACTGAATTTGAAAATGAGATTAATCCCAGAATAACCTGATCCCAGAATATTTTCTGGCCATAATACCTGTCATTTTAGGAGCTCTTGATCAGGATTCAGCATGCATCCAGAGGTGAGAGCCAGATTCTGATACCCTTGTCCACGTTGCCTAGCATTGTATACAATAGGTTTTCATTGATTCAGTGATATAAGATGAAAACTGAATCTGAGTATCAGAATCTGTTTCTAAATGCGTTTGGATTTTGACTGTAGGATATATTACCATTCTGCTAAAGCCTTGTGAATTTTAATTTAAAAGCAAGCTGGTTTCTCCATCTTTGTTAAAATTATCCATTGGGCATCAGGAATATGTTTTCAGATACTCTGTGACATCTCTGCTCATAGCACCATAAAGTCGTTTTTTGAAAGATACATTAGGTTAATGATAACAGTGACCCAGAGAAATGTGATGCCTTCATCAAAGAAAACACACAGCAAGCAGTGACTTAGTAAACTCAATCATCCAGTGTAAAAAGCAATTTATGCAGCTGACAAGGGCATGCTCAGTCTTCCAAAACTGGTGCTGGCTACACTCTCCGTTGCAGACTGGTTCTCTAAAGACGCTCAGCTTCATTTTCAGAAGAGATCATTCTTTCTTCAAATCAGCTACTATTTCTAGTTCTTTCATTGACTGAATAAATGTAAATGGAAAACAGAACTGCTTTAACGAGGGAAGTTTAGAGGCACCTATTGGACTATCCTACTACTTAGAGGGCAGGACATATTCCTGATAAACAGGTGAGCCAAGAATGAGCCCCTGCTCAGAATTAGGTAGATGGAGTTTGATCTTTCACAACCTGGATATGTGTTGAAAGCAGTCATTTGAAGGTAAAAGAGCACAGGGCATCATGTCTATGATTTTGTGAAAATTAACTATCAGGTTTTGTATTTGGGTCTGGACTGGGTATAATACGGTAGCACATTGATCTGAAATTTTTATTATTGTTATTTCCATTTCTACTTATTGTTGGCAAATAGAAAAATCAGCACTGCTGTCCTGGTTTAGGCTGGGATAGAGTTAATTTTCTTCCTAGTAGCTGGTATGGGGCTGTATTTTCAATTTAGCATAAGAATAATGTTGATAACACACTGATGGTTTAGTTGTTGCTGAGCAGTGCTTACACTGGTTAAGGAGTTCTCAGCTTCCCTTGCTCTGCCAAGGGCACAGGAAGGTGGGAGGCGGCACAGCCAGGACAGCTGACCCCAACTGGCCAAAGGGGTATCCCATACCATATGACATGCTCAGTATATAAACTGGGGGAAGAAGAAGAAAGGGGAGGACATTCGGAGTGATGGCATTTGTCTTCCCAAGTCACTGTTACACGTGATGGAGCCCTACTGTGTGGAGATGGCTGAGCACCTGCCTGCCCATATCAAACTGTCTTTATCTCAACTCATAAGTTTTTTCACTTTTATCCTTCTGATTCTCTCCCCCATCTCATCAGGGGGGAGTGAGTGAGCGGCTGAGTGGGACTTAGTTGCCAGACGGCGTTAAACCATGACAACTGCTTAGGAAACCTGATTCAAATCCCTGTTCTACTGCAGTAGGACTACAGGTAAAAGCATTTTGCTTCTGTGAACATCAGTCACCCACCCAGAACATTTTTAGCTTCAGGGTTTTTTTGAAGTCCAACACACTGAAAAGCATCAATAGCTTAAATACTACGGTAACTGGGTCGGGAGGATGTCAAAGTTGGACAGAGAAATATGGTGGTAGGTGAGAAAGAAGTGGCCTTGCCTTTTGAGTTCCCAGGCCTCCTCCACAGCACGTACCTCTCCTGTAGTGCTGGGAGGCAGTTATTAACTCTGCCGGGTGGAGTAAAGTGTTCACACTGAGCATCCAGCTCTCACTGAGACTGAACAAAAGATCCTGTTTTTTTTCTTACAGACCTCAGCAATATTCACCACTGGTCCTGAAGGGTTCTGAGTTTCATGTCGTGTCTTATAGCACCAGCCAAGGGGTTTCCTGAAATACGGCGCTGGACCTGCTAGAGACACTTCACCTCCATTTTGCCTTGTGTTGAGGCCAAGGAAAAATGTGTGACATGACCAGAAGTCTTGATTTGGCTGCAGTTTATGCTTTTGATCTCCTCTTCTCTGGCAGTCCCTCGTTTTGCTTTGATAAATCAAGGCAAAGAACCAGAGGTAAAATGCAAGAGTCCAGCACTGCCACGGGCAGCCTACATAGTCAGGAACAGGCAGATTCAAACTTGCTTTCTGTCTGCCACTTTCTCTACTCATGCTCACAGCCAGAGAACTGTGAGTTAATCATATATAAAAGCCATATATCAGGGCTAGTTTGGAGCAAGCACTGGGAAAATAAATTCTGAGAGAAAAAATTTACCAGCCTGGCTATAAACAGTAGTTTCAATTCTTTTTGTGACCCTTGTGGAGGATACCTGGAGGAGCTCAAGTCTGTGTGCTGCTCTCCATGTGGACATGGATGAATGACACCTTCTGGGTGTGAAAGCTCAGCCTGAGTCATGTAGGTGCTTAAATCAGTCCTGAGCTCTCTGGGAAGTTTTATGAGTGCTGACCTCCTACCATATGGGAATACCTCTGCCAAGCCCGTAAAACAGGCTACAGGAAAACTGGGGAACATCCCGATGGGGGAAACACTGCAGGGGAAGCAGAACTTATGCAGCACTCTGGCTAATGTGAATTTTCAGATTCAAATTAATGTGTATGGAGATATATATTTCAAAACATGTCCTATACTTAGGTACACATATATCCTGCCTCTCTTCAGCTTAATTCTATATTCTTTTGTAGTCCAGACTTCAGCTGTCAAAATGATCAAACCTTGGTGCCTCTAAAACAAGTTTCCTCACTTAGCAGTCAGGTGTTCACCTCTACTTGCTTTCTGCAGGGCATGTAGCAGAGAGGAGCTGTATTCAGTGCTCAGTTTAGCTCCCATGATCACTACCACACTGCAGCTCGCATGGTTGACCATTGACTCAGGCCCTCCCTCCACTGCTCCGTTTAGGGATGTAATTGCGATATACATTTAGAGCTAACACTTAACACTACCCAAGAGCATCCCGAGTGTCACTTACCTTTTCTCATAGTGTTTGACCAGTTTTCATGGTTCAAGGAACTGTGTTAAAAACTGTCTGTGAGTCACTTGCTGTTCGTGACCCACTATGCTCATGGCATTAATGACTTATGGAGTGAAGAGGTGGTGGCAGCCCTGAGATGCGACGGAGGTGGGAATGTGTGCAGACAGGAAACACACTGCCCATTCGAGCAACTTGTGTACTCCTGTCCTCTGAAGCTCTGATAGTGAACAAGAACTGGCTTTTCAGATGTGGCTGTTACTAGAATGCCCTGGAGCTAATTTTGATCAGTCTCATATTAAGCAGTTTCTGACTAATGAAAACACCATCAAGACCAAAATAAAAACAAGCTGACAGCCCCATGACCGATGGGAGGAATATTTTAGACATATTAGAATCAGTTTGGATGGCAACCTTTTTTGAGGTTTATAAATGACAAAACAGTTAAAAAAAATCTATTTAAAATCATTTATGAATTCATGGAAGGGAGTAAGGGAAAATTTTCATTTTTAAAAATATTGACGCTCTGACAGACAATGAATTCTCAGTGTCATTTTCCCAAATAATTCTCCAAGATGGAAGGGCTTTTTCCATTGTATATAATGGACCTGTTAGTCCTACTTCCAGGTCCATGTCTTGCCATGGTCTGAAAAGACCAACAAAGACAAGCAGCCCTTATTCAGCTAGTTGTAAGCAGGAGAAGTAAATGACTGTGGTCACCTTTCTAAACAATGAAGTAGCAAGAGATTGTAAGTCTGTATTTTTATGCTTTCCTTAATGTCTCAAAGCCATCCACAAACCTGAAAAAGTAGGCTTTTAATGTAGAGATGTACACTGCGGATGTCTTTCAGTTGCATACATGCTTGTGCACACACATGGATTATCCAGCTGTTATAATAAAAATATCATTTTCCAAAATGCAATCTGGTACAAAAGTATCCATGAATCCAAAGAGTTTCTGACTAAGCTGATTCTGTAGTATAAAAGATTTAAAAAACTTGGAAAGACCACTTTTACAAAATTCATAATGATAAAAATAATCTCATGGGACTTACCATTTCATCAAGGGATCAAACTTCTAAAGGTTATTGGGAATCCACTGGTCTTGCAAATCCATCAATCTTGGGAGTGCTCAGCACTTTGGGCACTTAGGGCCATCTCATCTCTCTTGGTTTAAGTTTTCCAAAACAGCAAGGAGATTTTGGTTTCTGGTGTCAGGGCTGGGTGTAGTCCTGACTCTGATGAGATGGGGGACGAGTAAGGCCACATGGCTGCTCTCTTGTGAAGGGACCATGGGCATTCAGGCACAGTATGGTTTGGGGTGGGAGAGCCAGTGGTGGCTGGGACCCCTTTACCTCCTAAACCCTGCCAATGTCATACACAGCAGGGTTCCAAGTTCCTTCCACGTGTGATTCTGAAATGTGAACTGCCAAAGATTTCCAGCCAATTTTGAAATTTAAGTCATACTCAAAACCTGTTCTGAAATGTGAACTGCCAAAGATTTCCAGCCAGGTTAGGCTAGGTTAGTGTGAACTTGCTGGCAAGCCTTGCTCTGTGTCCCCTCTTTCCTCTGTTTCTTACTCCTTGCCTCTCCAGTTGTAGTGTGCTTTTTCAATTAGCTTTCTGGGTTCGACATGCTGTCTGCAGAGCTCTGTGAACAAGGTGCTGTGTGCTCCCATCCTTGACTACTAAAGCTTGACAAGGAAAAAACTCCCAAACATACAGGTGACTTTTTTTTTTCTTCAAATCCAAAAAAATCTCTGAGCAACTCAGAAGAGGATTGACAGCCTCAAAACAAAATCACAGATGTGAATCTGCTTGGGATGAGGAGACTGAAGATGGGGGAAAGGAGGGAGGCAGAGCAGACGAGCTGTCCTTGCAACAGAGCACTGATTGCTTCTCCTGGCTGTGGCACTTACAAAGGGCATTGCTCAACGCTCAGCATACAGATGCAGTTTATGGCATCCCTTGGATGCGTTTGCTGCACACTTGGAGCCTTTTCTTATAATGTGGGCAATAAGAGCCATTGAGAGCACGGTGCATCGTGGCCCAGGTCCTGTCGGCATGTCATTTTGACAGGAATACTCTGGGGCAATCTGTTCCTGTCGCTGCTGCGAGAGTGACAGCGAGTGACGGGATTTTCTTGCTTTGTGCGGCGGGATGGAGTCAGAGCCTGCTGAAAGCTTTCTGCTGACTTCAGTGAGCTTCAGAGCAGGCTCTGAGCTGATTCCCATGAGAGGGGGATGAGTTTTTCTCTCCAGACACAAATGAAGTGATGCTTCCACAGGATACACAGACCAACCTATAAAGGCCTTTCTGTTGCTGGCAAAAAAAAGTCTTGTCTTTACCCAAACTCACCGCAACCCCACATCCTTACAGAAAGGAGGCGGTTTTGTTACTTACACTGGGAGTAAGTGGTCCCGGTCCCACTGACACTGAATCTGTTGAGATGGAGTCTGTGAGTGACCACGTTCTTCTGGGGCTGGAAGAGGATGATGTGCACCTTGGGCGCGAACAAGCAGCCCAGCACAACAAAGCCGCTCAGGCTCACAGAGATGCACATGGTGGTGGTTTGCACCTAGGAGAGAGTGGGCACAAAGCGCTGTGTTTCAGTATGGAGAGCCGTGAAATGCAGAATATTAGACACATTATCATACAACAGTAGGAACCAGAGTCCTGGAGGGTTGCATTGGTGTGGGGTGGCTTGAACACGTGTCGCATCCTTATCTTCCCCAATCCTAGGATCATGTGAGTGAGGTACAGGGTGTTGATGGTGCCCTGTGTCTCTGCATAGCACGGGCAGCTTGGCTAAGGGTGTTCTCCCTCAGCGTAGTGAAGGAAGGGTAGTTCTGCTCTCTTTGTCTCATCCTCCATATCTTTGATTCCTAAATTGATCTGGAAGTTCCCTGTCACGCCTGTCATGCAACGACTGGGCAAGCTGGCTGCAGTGGAAACCGGCTTGCAAATACTGTGCTTTATGTGGGGTTACGTTAGATGCCTCATGCAAAACATTTACTTGAAAAGGAGTTTAGCTTCCAGCCTCAATCCTAATCGCAGAACTTGCACAATCCCTTGCAGGAACATAAGTGGGATTTGGAGTAAACATAAGAGATGGTGACATTTGTCAGACTGGGCCTGAAAGGACCCCTGACTTTGAGACATAAGTTTTTGGGCCTAGAAATGAATTGTTTCTAAGGCTGCATGATTTTAGAGTCGTTGCCTTGGGGCATTTGTTAGTTTAACTTTGCTGGCACTGTCTATCTTTCTTCCATTTTGTTCAATGGTATAACTAGGTTTACATTCTTTTCTTCCAAGCAGATTCCTTAATTAAGATGTTGAATTAAACTGCTTTAAACTCTACTGCTTAAATTGAATGATTATACATCCATGGCTCATTTTTCCTTAGCTACACTCCTGCAGTCCTTGGAGATTAGCCTTCTTCCATGGGAATGCTTCTCATACCTCCTTGTCAGAGATAATTGGTGCAAAATGAAAAATAGAGTAGGGAATGGACTTTGTTGCTTTATATATATACAGAGCACCAAATGCTTTGTCAGCAGTGAGTATAATTAATGTGCTCATATAATAATCACTCTTTACCCAAGGTAGATGTGGCAAGCACCATGGAAAGGTGCTCAGCTCTCTCAGGGGGAGTGAACGTGGAAGACCCTACAGGGGCAGCATGAGAAAGGGATGCCTTAGTGTTTCCAGCTGTACTTTCTCCTTCACTTCTCTGCATTTGGCCCACAGGGCTCTGCAAGTCAATTCTGGGAGGGTCTTGAACTGGTAAAACAGGACTGGGAATTTTCTTATAAAACAAGAATAAATGAAGGTAGTAGTTTTAAGGTAAGTTCTCTTCACTAACAAAGTCCTCCCCCTCCCCAGCCTGCTCTGCTAGGGTTGGTGCCTCCCTGGGGCAGCCCAGTTGTGCTGGCAAAATTATACCCTTGATCAATAAAATGATTTGGGTTAAAAATAGCCACATCCCGCAGAGTTCCTTTTAACCCAGGTCAGTTCAGTGGTTTGGTGTGCAAGCCAGCCTCACAGACACAGAACGGAGGCAATCCTGCAAGACCAGGCAGGAGCAACTGGCAGGGGGGCGAGCTCCTTGAGCCAGAATTACCCCTAAAGAAAATGCAGGGAGAAACTGTCTAAACAGTAGGAACTTTGAACACCTGATTTCATTATAACCAGTTTAACACCCAGACTTTTCCTTTCCTGTGCTCTTGCTGCATTTCTTAAACTTTGCTCTAAGGCGATCTTGTTGAAAATTCCCTTAAATGTGCTAGATACTGGTGCTGCTGTGAATTTATGTTGTGTGTATTTATTTAATCATATCAGGTATCATTGTATCTTTGATTCTGAAATCAATGTGGATCTCTGCATGAAAATCAATGGCATCAGAGAAATCTACCTTTTCCAGGAGCTCTCCTTTAAATTTTTGACAGCACGGATAACAGAGTCAGCTACCGAATGCAGCAGTTTGCAGACAAGCTTCTGGCCTGTGCTTTGGGATCTTCTAGACCTTCTGTGAACAACTTCTGGGATCATTGGAGGACTCTTGGGAATACTTCAAGGATCATCAGGGTGCCTTGCTGGTGCTGGGGGAGGATTGCTGCAGGAGGCTGTGACTTCTAGCAACCTCCATCAGCTCCTAAGGAGCTCTATCAGGTCTCCTTGACCAGCCTGGAGCTTTTGCCTGAGTTGACTCTTGGTTAGGCGCTCTTGTTGCAGGTGCAGTAATGTGCACAGAAGAGGGCTAGAAACTGCCGAAGGCTGTGTTTGTGTGCAGAGCAAGGGGGATGCCACAGGGGAGTTGTTCTCCTTTTCTGCAGGAGATGTGGAGGATTTCTGTTGCCAAGTTAAGGAGCTACGGGAGGAGGTCAGCAGACTTTGTGGCATCAGACATGATGAGAAAAAGGTGGACTGGATCTTCTCTGACACTCTGCAGGTACAGGCGCCTGGCCTGTGCTAGAGAAGAACTAGGCAGCCTGTGTTTGTTGAGTTGGGAAATGGAGACTCCCATGATGATGAAGGCCAGAAATTTGTGACTTGCGGCAGCAGGCAGATGGATGCTGCTCTACTTACAGATCTGCAATTACAGCATAGGTTAGTACCCTGGTATCAGGGTGAGGACAGGGAGTTGCACTCTGTGTGAGGGAGCAGCGGGAGTGGATGGAGCTCTGCCCAGCTATGGGTCTTGAGCCAGCTGATAGATTATGGGTCAGGATTAGCAGGCAGGCCAAAGTGGACAACATAGTGGTGGGTGCCTGCTATCAACCACATAATCAGGAAGAAGTAGAAGAGGCATTTTTTTAGACAACTGGACGAAGTGTCATGTTTGCAGGTCCTGATCTTTTTGGGGCAGTTCAACTACCCTGATACCTACTGGAGGTACAACATAGCAGGACACAGGCAATGCAGGATGTTTTTGGAGCACACTGAGGTCAACTTCCTAAAACAGGTGATTGAGGAACTGATGAAGGACGATGCTCCACATAATCTCATACTTACAAACAAGCAAGAACTTCTCAGGAATGTGACAGGCAGGGAAAACTTCGGATGCCGCAACCAGCAAATGCTGAAATTCAGGATCCCAAGAGGAGGAAGCAAGGCAAAAAATAGGATCGCCACCCTGCAGAGCAGGTTGACCTGTTTAGGCATCTTCTTGGAAGAATACCATGGGATACAGCCCTGGAGAGAAAAGGGGTCCAGGAGGCCTGTCTGTTTTTCAAGAATCACCTCATCCAAATTTAAGAATGGCCCATCCCAATGGACAGGAAATCAAGTAAATGTGGCAGGAAGCTTGCATGGATGAGCAATGACTGCCAATAGTCAATATGAATTTACACAGGGGAAATTATGCTTAACCAACCTGATAGACTTCTACAGTGAAATGACTGGTGTGGTGGATGATGAGAGAGTAGTTGATATTATTTATTTTGTCTTTAGTAAGGCTTTTAAAACTGTCTTCCATAACATCCTCACTGACAAGCTGGGGAAGTACAGACTAGATAAGTGGACAATGAGGTAGACTGAAAACTGGCGAAACTGCTGGGCTCAAAAGACTGAGATCTGCGGAACAAAGTCCAGCCAGAGGCCAGTCACTAGTTCCAGGGGTTGATATTAGGACTAATGCAGCTTAACACCTTCATTGACAAACTGGATTCTGGGACTGAGTGAACCCTCAATAAGTTTGAAGATGATACAGAATTGGGAGAAGTCACTGATACACTAGATAGCTGTGCTGCCATCCAGAAGTGCCTTGACAAGCTGGAGAAATGGGATGATGGGAACCTCATGAAGTTCAACAATGGTAAAAGCAGAGTCCTGCACCTTGGGAGGAACAACCCCAGGCACCAGTACATGCTGGAGGCCACCCAGCTGGAAGGCAGCTTTGCAGAGAAGATCCTGGTGGGACAAGTAGGTTATGAACCAGTAATGTGCCCTTTCAGCAAAGGTCAATGGCCTCCTGGGCTGCATTATGCAGAGCATTGCCAGCAGGTCAAGGGCAGTGATCCTTTAACTCTGCTCAGCACTGGTGAGACCTATGCAGGGTGCTGAGCTCTGGGCTCACCAGTACAAGAGAGACATGAACATACTGGAGGAAGTGCAGTAAAGGGCCATGGAGATGACTAAGGGATTGGAGCACCTCTCATGAGGAGAGGCTGAGAGAGCTGGGACTGTTCAGCCTGAAGAAGAGAAGGCTCAGGAGGATCTTATCAGTGTGTGAATCTGTAAGACAGACAGTAATATACCACCCCAGCTTATCTAACATGATAGGTCTGGCACTTGTCATATAGAGCTCATACAGGGATATTTCTGCTTCTGTGTTTGTAGAGATGTATAGCATGTTGAATTCTTTTTGTTTCTTTAACTACTACAGTGAGGTCACTGACAGATCTCTGGATAAATTTCCAGGAGCTTTCCTTTTTTTTTTTTTTCAGAAGGGTGAGTCCTAAGTGATGTATGTGCTTAATGATAAAATCTCAAAGCAGTCAGCATTCATTTTTTCATTGCTACTATTATGTTTCTAAGGCTGTTTATTGGTGGTGCCAGCAGTATTGGTCCACATCAGGATGGCATAGGTTGATTCAGAGTCAACATGCAACACTGCATGGAAGTTAAATATGGGTTTGTTGAAGGAACCCCAGAAGTGAAGATGTTTAGGATGGGATTTTCAAAAAGCTCCTGACATGTCATGGAAGTAATAAAAAAGGTGCTAAAGCATTTTCTGTCAATTTGGTAGGACTCGAGTTGGCTTATTTGGAACCTTGTATTTAAATTAAATGCCTATGGGTGGTTTTGAAAATCCTACTCGGGAGATAAGGCTGAAAAATGCTGCTTGAGCAATCAAGTCTTGCTACTCTTGACCATTAGTGTCTGTGCTGCCCACTCCTGTGACTGTCTGCACTGATATTACCCTCCTTCTGTGTCTATCTTCCTGATTACTTTGGGTGTCCAGAGCTGTTCCCCTGTGCCTTCCTTAAACTTTTCCTTCATTAGCTTCAATCCATTACTCGCCTTTCTAACTTCTCCGGAGACTGAATAATCCCTTTCTCTCTTTTTGTTGCCTTGAAATTATTTATAGTCTGTGTTCACATCTCCCTGGGTTTACTCCTGTCTAGACTAAATATATTTAGCTCTTTTACTGTCACTCTGTGTGTCTTTCTTACTGCATCGTTTGTTATATATCCTTGTTTTCTTGAGGTTTTCAGTACCTTTCCTAAGCTGAGAAAAACAGTCCTAAATAGGCTGCTCCAGGGTGGTCACACCACAAGTTCGTTAAATGATATTAGCTCCCCAGTTTTACACGCTATTTCATGTGCATGCTACTGGTTATAATACTACCCTAAGTTAGTCTGCTACCTTTCTTCTGGGCAGAAAGTCGAATTAATTCACCGCAAAGTGCTGTAAGGGCCAGCTCCAGCAGCCACTTCTCACATCAGAATAACTGTGAGATTTCCAGTGGAGCAGATCTGAATCTGTTTCTGAGACAATTTTCTTCTGTCCAAAAATAAGATTTTATTGAACTTGAAGCTTTGCGACACTATGTGACAATTTAAAACATTTAATTTTTTTAATATTTTCTGCTCAGTGAGGTATGCGTTTTATGCCCTACAAAGTGGAAAAAGAATAAAAAGTTATATATTCAAAAAATGTTATATATTCAAGCATAACTTTTGCTGGAATTTTTTTTTAAACAACCCTGTTTCATAGGAAATTTTGAAATACTTTCCTTATCTTTTTTATTTGGAAGAAAATGTCATGTCTGAATGATAGATTCTTTTGCAGAAAGAGAGTAGTTAGTTCAGTTTTTCATTTAAGGCTCACCTCCACCAAATAACTCATTATGGCTCATTCTAGCTGATGCCCTACTAGTTTTTTCTGTTAGGACTGGGACTTCACATACTGATGTGCAAGTATGAATAGTTAATCCATACACGATGCCTCTATCACAATCAGTCTGATAGTACTAATCCCTTCCACCTCCAACTGTACATGCTCAGTTTGAAATGAGACCATCTTTCTTACAAATAAGCTAAAATTTGGTAATATGCTTAGGTGGACATTAACAGAGCTCGTTTGCAAGGGATCCCGAGGACAAAAGAAGTGAAAGAAGCTTTTAGTGAATGACGACAGGGTCCTTTAAAGTGATGCACATGATTTATGGAAACAGATATCCAAAGACTTACTCTGTAGTCACTGGATGTCACATAAAATATGGGGAGAAAGGCCAGCCAAATGATGCACGTTGTGTACATTGTGAAACCGATAAACTTGGCTTCGTTGAAGTTCTCTGGACATTTCCTTGTTTTGAAGGCATATACAGTGCATAAGACTACGAGGATTACATCATATGTTAAGGAGATTAACATACTGGAATCTTTGACATTGCATTTCAATATGACAGTCTCTCTCTTCTCAGGAAGAGTGTACCGCCTGGTGCCAGGGGCCTCCAAGATAAGCCACACGGACACCACCACAATCTGTACCAAAATGAGACTCAGGCAGATGAAGACCTGAGAGCTGGGGCTGATGAACTTAGGCCTTTGAGCACCGTTCTTTACACCATCAAATATTCTGGCTATGCAGTTTGTTTTTGTCAGAAGGGCAGAGTAACAGACAGCAAAGGAACTTCCTAGCCCCAAGCGACGCAGGGTGCAGATAGCTGGAGAAGGCTTGGCTATGAAGAAGAAAGTCATGCTGTAAGACAGGAAGACTCCAAAGAGCAATATGTAGCACAGTTCACGGCCAGAGGCTTTGACCAGGGGGGTATTGTTGTGCTTGATGAACACTGCAATGACCATAAAAGTACAAATAAAGCCCAGGCATGCAATGGTAACAGGACCTATTGCCCAAGCATCTTCCCACTTGATGTAGTCTTCTGGTAGGTCATAACAGCCAGTCAGGTCAGCTGTGGGCCATTTTCCAGGCCCACAGTCCGCACAGGTAAATTCATCAGCCAGGTACTCATAGGTTTCACAGGGAATACAAATCCAACAGCAGACGTCTCCTGGTTGCATGTTCTTCATCTCGTTAGGAGCACAGGGGTCACTGCACTGGGAGACAGGGAGAGAGCTCCTGGACCAGTGGATAGAGTCTACCTCAAGTGACAAGGTTTCTGCCCAGTGGCCAACCTTCACATAGGAGTATCTGCCTCCGGTGTACTGGAAATTGAACACGTTGTATCGTCCTATCCCATCTCCATAGGCATCAAATTTGACCATACTGTCCGCAGCATTGGGAGGGTTGAATGGAGCTGTGAAAAAAAAAGAAATAAAGAATGTTATGACCAAAACAGCAGATGACATTTTTCATCCTTTTGGCAAGCACAGACACCTGACAGCTTATAGAAACCAATTCAAGAGCTAACAGGTAAGTCGAGAGGTCTGCCTCTGTTTCATTTTTGAAATATTTTTGCCTTGTTTGAGTTTGGAAGCAGAAAAGAACTCAGATAGTAGCACTCTATTTCACTTTACTGCATGAGAAATATTTGTGAATGTGGACAGTGATGGTAGATTACCAATGTGCTTACCTTTTCTTTGCCCTGGATACAAAGGAATTCTCCAGTTATTTCCCCCTGTATGCACAACTGCTACCTTTTACATTTTCTCTTGAAAGAAAGAGGTCTGCTTCTAACTGAGGCTTGGCATTATTGGGTGATATTTGGCTGTCATGACAAAAGGAAATTTAAATGGTCAGATCAATAAACGTCAGTTTTGAGGCCAACACTCTGGAATACGGCTGAATAGAGGATTCATTTTGAGGATGATAGAGAAGTAACTATGAAGTCCTCAACAATTCCTTCCTATGTCTTTTTCACTTCTCCCTGTGGTGTAAGAAGTCTTGAATCCCTTCTATTTTGCTTCAATTTTACCAGTTTCTGATATTTCTTGTCTGGTCTGAGGTTCCCAGCATGTGCTGCTTTGGTCCTGTATCTTGTTTTGGGAAGAGATGAAAAAGCCACAAACTGGATCTGTGACCTTCTGTGAAATCAATATTGTAACACTTCCAACCGGTAAGCTCTGGAGAGTTTTTGTTTTTTCCTTCAGCTGAGGCTCATGCAGGGAATGAAGAAATATTAAAAATGTAGGAGGAAATTGCATTTACTATGTGATTTATTGGTCATTTGCTGTGGCATCAAAGGTGAACAGCTTTATAGGCAGGAAGCAAAAGGGGTTTTTTTTGGCACTGATGAGCAATAAAGGTGATTTCATTCCCCAGTGTCTTTGGTTACAGAAGTGGTTCCACTGTCATTGCTGGAATAAATCTTTTTCCCTGCATCTGTGCCCATGCTGTGCAATGAGCAATATCATATAAGGATGTAATATCTTCCTCCACTTCAACCTCCAGATACTTTGGATTTCTTGCAGTGGATTTATTTAACTAACTTCTATAAAGCACTGAGGCCAAATTCTTTCACCTTTGCTCCTGCAGAGCCTTACCTTATTTTGCAGTACTCCCACTAAGGTCAGTAAAAGGGGTGGTGATTTTTGTCACAGAAGCCCTGATTGGAGGGTTTGATGCGTAACTTGCACCTCCCCAGGTGCTGGACTTGGAGTGCATTTCTTTTCCAACTTTCTTCTTATCTTAGGGAAAGGTTGGAAGATAATTTATGCCCAGCTACAGCCTCTTCTGGGTTTGAGCCAAGACTCTGCCTGTTCTTATCCCTGCCTTCTCCTGCATTTACCACTTCACCTGTGTCAACGACAGTGGTGGACAGCCTTGGTTTGCAGGATTACAGACTAGGTCTGGGTAATCCAGGAATGCATAAGAGGATTATTTTCTCTTTTTCTTCACTGTTGGCATCTAGTTGGACTGTTGACTAGCCCAACAAGAGAACAAAAGTGAACAAAAATTAAGGGCAGCATAATACTCCCCCAAATGGCCAGTCCTCCTGGAAAAACCATGCTCTAAATTGAACAGGTAGCTAAATTCAAAATATAGGTCAACAAGAAGAATATTAAGCAGCTTCCCTTCTCTCCTTCCTCCTTCTCCTCACGCACAGGCGTGCGAGCTCTCTCATCCAGGAGCAGCATTAAAATGAAATCATAATGCAGCCCTTAACGGCTCTTCAATAACGCGCTGTCATTGCGAGCGTCTTATTTCATTATTCATAACACTTGTATAGATTGTAGAAGCTGTTAACACAGCAGCCCAGTTTTAAGAGACAATTTATTTGCTTCAGTGTTATACAGGCCAGCTCCTGAGGTGTGCTGAGAGCCTGTGGCTCCTGCTGGGACCAGTGGGGCCACAGGTAAGGAAGACAAACTGCAGACTGGTCGCATGGCTTATCTTCTGTCAAGCGCCTAATTTCAACTGCACGAGTAGCCCAGTGGAAGTGAGGGTCAGAAATATCAGCACTTTTCAGGAAAGAGTTCCCCCTGTGTAACGTGTTTAACAACTTCTTAGTTCTGATAGAATATTTATCATGTAAATAGAGAAGAGCATTTGCCTTGGACTCTGTCCGGAAGGCAAAGCAGGGAATCTTGCGTATATTTAGATTGAAGCTCACATATATGTTGGCTTCCATGGGGCTGTTCCCACACTACAAATATGAAGAAAAGGTTTTTGTAGGACAATATGTTTTAAGTCAACCACAGCTTGTAGCTTGAAACATTCATTTTTAGTGGCTGCTGACAAAGGAAAATAAATCACATTCCTTCAGATGGAGAGGATGAAACCATTTAGACAAACAATGATGTATTAAATTATAGTATGGTGAGCCAAAGCCTACAAATGAGCCCACTGGGTGGCAGCAATTAATATACTCACTGATTGCATATAACATCACTAAGGCATTTTAACTGATATTTATCAACATATTCTAGATCCTGTAAACCATTTCAAAAAAGTCATGTTTTCAGAAAATATGATCTAATAATAATCATAAAACTAAGATGCTTATAGGTAAAAATGTAACATCATAAGAAAGCAGGACTTTATGTTCCAGAGTAAAACCAATAATTTTTTGTATATTGGTGGATGATTTTCCCAGAGACGATGTCAGGCTATGTCATAAATCACTCCGAGAATTTTTTTCTAGTTAAATTTCAGTTTTGAGAGTAAGCCTACAACCTTTATAGCAGGTATTTCTGGCAGATCTTTTTCAGAGTTGTAACTAAGCTGCTTTGGATTCGTCCCTTGGGAGATGAGAGACAAGACTCTCTGGGTCTACCCATGCTGTTAGCTGAGGCTATCTGAATGAGAATTCAAACTTCGTCTCCTTTGAGCAGTGCCTTTGAAACTTTTCTTCCCCTTGCACTTCAGGAAATGAATTATCCTTATGCAAAGCAGTTATCCAAGAGAAATTCTATAAAAGAAGTTATAAAGGAAGAGAAAGGGTAATTAAAAGTGACTTAAAGATAAACCAGTGATGCTCTGTGCTCCAGCTTGCAGCAGTTCAGCAGTGAAGATGCAGAGCAGTGACATTTATGACAGCGGGAGAAAGACTCAGGTACACAGGGTGCAGAAGACAGAAACCTGCGGAGCCATGGTGCAGGCAGCCCACCTCCATCCGCTCACTAAAGAAATCCCGTCGAAGGAGAGGATGCCGTTGTGTGAGCGGAGGACAAACTCCTTCAGCTACAGTTAAGAGGAAAGACTGTGTAGTTTTACAACTATTTTAGTAGCAGATGTGGATAAGAACATAAAATAACATCATAGCTTTTATACAGTGAATTATGTAATTTTGTTTCCATCTTCCTACAGTGGGGTCATCTTTTCCAGCAATCACATATCTCACCAGTGTGTGCTTATGTGCTGTTAGAAGCAGGTGAGTTGTTTTCATCTGGAAATCTTTGTTGTTTTTGGTGTCAGTGATGTACAGCTCTTGGTGATATGAAAGAATCCAGAAAGAAAGTTCTGAAGGAGGGGATTTATTTTCTTATTGGTCAAATCCATTATTTTAAGAGGTGATATGGGAAATCTTTTTTTGAAATGACCCTGATTCTGCACGTTGGCTCAGTGGGGTGGAAGTACTCCAGGATTTTTTAACCAGGGATGAGTAGATGAAGAAAACAAAGCTGTTTTAATTTTTGGAATCAGACTGAGTTTTGTTTGCCAGCAACATCTTTGGGCCAGGAAGGATATTTTGCATACAGAGTCTTGCGTGTGTCTGGCACAGAGCTGGGTGTATAGATGTCGTCTTACAGAAAATATCATCTGCAACACTTCCTGGTAGGAACGATGACAGGTATGCCTACATCTGAGAACATACTTCATCTCCAATAAAACACACATCTGTTCTTTGCTTGCAGAGTGCGTTCTTTCAAAACAAGGTACAGATCAGAGGCACAGCTCGCTTGCTAGGAGGCAATTCATTAATAACAAGGCTTGATGAAAGCTCTGCAGTTTTTCAGCTCGGCAGTTTGCAAAGCTGTGGGATTTCATGCGGTTCAGAAAGAAATGTAAAAAGGACTATTGTGTGCACCAAAAGCACCTTCTTCAACAGCTTGTTGGCCCCAAAGACTTTCAGCCAATAGAGTATAAGGAGATCATGCTTGAAAAGAAATGCAAATGTAAAGAGGGAACAGGCTGGAGCTTCTGAAAAGTTGAGTAAAACCTCTTTAGTCTCACTAGATGGTGCTGCAAAAACCCCAAACTTCTGATTTAAGACTGAAAAACAAGGCATTTGTTTATGTAACAGAAAATACAGGTTTTTTTAATGCCCCCTACTCCTTCCTGTTACATATCCTAGGCAATGCCTTACTAAAGCACTGTCAGGAAGAGCCTTAATAATATAACAACAGGATAAGGTGTGTTTGTCCAACAGGCTCATCTGCATGTGCGATGCCTTATCTCAAAAAGTATCACAGGGGGCCCCAAGAACACATATATCTTCTCATTTTCTTTTATTAATAGCTAGATATGGTTTGTTGAGGTCCAAGTGACTTATTTCTGTTTGGCTAAATGTTCAGACCAAGTAATGGAGACCTGGTGCACCCACTCCTGTTTCTATCTCAACATAACACAGCTGGTTTCACACCTGATTCCAGAAGAGACATTGAAATTTGGGAATTTGAAAGGTAGTATAGGGAATGCTCAGAGTGAAGTGTTACCAAATTGTACCTCTCCACAATTAATAAAAAATGAATGGGCTTAAAATATCAGTTTTCATGGAGACAAGTAGTCACTTTTAACCTCTGTACCATTTCTGGAAGTGTTTGGGTCATATGCAGTATTGCTTCTTCTCATTCAAGAAATTAATGAGACTGATTAGTCCTCTACAAAGTAATTTTCTTATCTGTGGTTTCTCTC